GAGCTTGAGGACTAAGGTGCACCTGACCTAAGCCATTGTATTTTCAATAACCTCATATGCATGCAAAAGCTGGACAGTGAATAAAGAAGACCGTAGAAGACTTGATGCTTTTGAGTTATGGTGTTGGAGGAGAATATTGAAAGTGCCATGGGCTGCCAAAAGAACCAATAGAATCGTTTTGGAAGAAGTGCAGCCAAAGTGCTCCTTGGAGGCCAAGATGGCCAAGCTTCCTCTCTCATACTTCAGACATATTGTCAGGAGGGAATAGTCGCTGGAGATGGATATCATGTTTGGTAAAATGGAGCGTCAGAGAAAAAGAGGAAGACCCCCAGTGAGATGGATTGGCCAAGTGGCAGCATTGATGGACTCATGCATTGCAACAGTAGTGAAGGTGGCCCAGGATCGGGCAGTGTTTCGTTCTGCTGTGCATAAGGTCGCTATGGGTCGATACTGACTCGATGGCACCTAACAACAACAACTAGTGGGTTTAAGGAGCTCTGGTAGCGTAGTGGTTGCTGCGAACCGCAAGTCAGCAGTTCGAAACTACCAGCTGTTCCGCGGGAGAAAGATGAGGCTTTCTGCTCCCTTAAAGGTTTACAGCCTCGGAAATCCTATATAGGGTCGCTATGAGTGGGAACCGACTCCACGGCACGTAACAACATGAGTGGGTTTGGACACCACAGCACTGTGAGGGGTTGGACCAGTCATGCTCTTTGGTGCCATTCGGGGATGACATCCTGGGTTATTACACTAAAGATGCCAATTTGGTAGCAAACAGCAGCTAAACTCTATGAAACTCATTTTAATCTTGGTTACTGGCTCCTTGAAGATGGCGACAAAATCTGATTTATCTGAGCAATTTAGTACAACGCCAATTCATGTGCAATTTAGCACAATGCCAAGAAGTCGCTCGGTGTTTGCTGAATGCACATTTGCGGGCTTGGGTCCTATCATGCTTTTAAGTGTCCCCGACTCAACTTCAGGACCCGAACCAAGTTCAGCTTCCCTCAATTTCCCGACTAACCAAGTCTAAACTGGCGCCTGGCGAAATGATTGGCCACGGCTGTTCTGTGAGAGAAATTGATTTGCTCCAATGATCCGGGAGAGGCATCCACAGTCAGCACCCTTAGCACAATTAAGGCCAGTACCGAATTCAGGAGTGCAAGCCATTGTCTTGAAGCAGATTTAAACAGATAATCTTTGAAAACATGGGAGGTCCCAAAAGAGCCGAGACCATCCGGTAGCCACGATATCTGCCGTAAAACCTCTCCCACCACAGTATCTTGTTGCCAAAGCAACTGTGGTCGTCACCAAGCTGACGACGGAAATAGTACAAAGAACGTACACGTCTCCAGTTCGTGGATAGATTTCGGGCGCGTGCGTATTGGCATTTTCTGGCTGTAGTTTGCTGTCTAGCCCCGCATTTTGCGTCTGCGCATTAGTTACTACGTGGCTTGGTCCGTTTTTACGCATGCACATTTTGGCATTACGGAGACAGCGGGACTGGGCCTTAGTGGTGCGCACGCGCAGACACTACATCCGGTTCGGTAGTCTAATCCAACAGGAGTTTCCGGAGCGTTGGCCCGTGAATTGAGCGAGTTGGCAGTCATGTCGGCGTCTGTAGTGTCCGTGATCTCGCGGTTCTTAGAAGAGTACTTGAGCTCTACACCGCAGCGTCTGAAGTTGCTGGACGCGTACCTCCTGTATATACTGCTGACCGGGGTGCTGCAGTTCGGTTATTGTCTCCTCGTGGGCACTTTCCCCTTCAACTCTTTCCTTTCAGGCTTCATCTCTTGTGTGGGAAGCTTCATCCTGGCGGGTAATGATTCTTTATAAGTAATTGTAATAATAATTTGTTACTTTGGTGCGTTGTCTTTTATTCCCCAATATTTTTCACTTTTATAGTAGCCTGTTTTGGGAAGAGCTTGTCTTCTCTTTTTGTGAATGGGGCAATTGAGGCGCAGAAATGTCACAAACCTAAAGACACAGCTGCCTAGGAGCTGGTATTAAATATCTAAGGAAAACACTTTCTTACTGTTGCTCATCCTGATAATCCACTCCATTTCAGACTGACTCCTTTCCAACTCTTACTTAGCTCTCTAACACACCTTCAAGTTTGGTAGACTTTTAAAGTGAAAAAATCTCGCTTTCAATTATCTCTCACTTTGGCCTAAACACTACTAAACTCTAGTGAAACGTTTCAGTCAACAGTGTAAGGAATAATATATTGCTTATGAATCATCCTTTACTTGATTTTGGCTTTTAATATTTACTACTTATTTTTTGAGGATGTAACTTATTTCAGTATTCTGAGCTCAGTTTTTATTTACATAATTCTGTTTTATTTCCGACACTTGATACCTTCTAGTCTGGCGTATTTAATGGGAGCTGAGATCCCATATGTTTTTGCTAAAATCTGACCATTCTACCAAGGATAAAATGAATACTGAGTTGGCCCAGGCATTGTTAGTCCAATTTATAGGTGACCACCACGTGGGCCTTTCCAGTCACTACTCCTTGACTTTGAAAACATACCAGAATTTATGTATGGGTGTTTTTTTTTCACCCCAGTGCGATCATTTTTTAACTTCCTATTGTGAATTGAAAGGAGCTCTGGTACCGTAGTGGTTACGAATCGGGCTGCGAACCTTAAGGTCAGTGGTTCGAAACTACCAGCTGCTCCGCGGGAGAAAGATGAGGCTTTCTACTCCCGTAAGGATTTACACCCTCGGAAACCCTGTACAGGGTCGCTATGGGTCGGAACCGACTCGAAGGCACTTAACAACAACAACAATTGTGAATTGAATGACGGTTTACAGAGCAGATCATCAGTTTTACATTCAACAAATCATACACCTCCATTCATCTTGATTAAAATTCCTGTATTGTAACATTTCTTAACCTCACTTCTTGTTTCTTGTTTCCATTCCTCCCTTCTCCACCCTTCTGAATTTTGTCCTTAAGTAAATGCTGCCCTTTTGATCTCCATTGAATAGTTGACCATTCTGCGCATATGTATCTTGCTAGTGTTGACGCCACTGTATACCTGTGTATATATTGCTTGTCATCAATTGACTCTTGATTCTAATACAAAATGTTGTGGCGAGAACTTTTGGGGATGCCTTAGGTTTATGTTCTTGCCCACAAAGAGTTTACAGTCTAGTTGGGGCACCTAAACCCATTGTTGTTGAGTTGATTTTGACTCATAGCAACCCTGTAGAACAGAGTAGAATTACTGTATAGGGTTTCCGAGTCTTTACAAAAGCAGATAGCTTCATATTTCTCTCATGAAGGGGCTGTTTAGAAGGTCAACACCTAACTCACTGCACCATCAGGGCTCCTAATCGGGGTCCAGGTGTACAAAATACAGCATAAGAATTGTTTACATTCCTTTTTAGATAATTGTTTAGAGACTTCATTTGCAGTGATAGTTAAAGATCTATAGAAGGCTTTTAACCTATTCAAATCACTAGTTCAAACACATCACAAATGCTTCTGTCTTCTTCCTTATTTTTCAGAGATAGCAGGCATTATATGTAACTTGAAACCTACCCAATAGGGTAGGCAGTCTGCTTCCAAAAAAGTCACAGCCATAACTCTGGAGCGCAGTTCTGTTATGAGATACATGGAGTTGCCATGACTTAGAATTGAATTGATTGCAGTTGTTTTTTTTTTGGAAGGACTTAATGACTTGTGTACTCACCTCATCTCGAGATGTAGCGTTAGTCTACTGATTGAATATTTAGTTATATCGTCTTTGAATTTTGCCTAGATGGCCAAGATTTGGTTTTCTATGGTAGCATATTGGTCTTTGGAGTTGATAGAGTACTATCTATTTTCAAATATACGTTAGCCAACAAGAGGGGCCTGAAAGCAGATTCTTTTTTTTAAGTAGTTTTCATGCTGATATCACTCTAGTTTCTTAAGTCTTAAGCATGGAGAATGGTTCTTTGGAGCCCTTTAGGAGTGTACTTTGTTGAAAGCAAATATAGACTAAAGTTATGTTGCTAGGTGCCATTGAGTCAGATCTGACTTATAGCGACACTGTGTACAACGGAATGAAACACTGTCAGGTCCTGTGCCATCCTCACAATTGTTGTTTTATTGAAACTCATTGTTGTCTTTCTTGGGAACCCTCCACTTCACCGAGCATGATGTCCTTCTCCAGGGTCTGGTCCTTCCTGACAACATGTCCAAAGTAGAGGATTGGGCAGTGTTTCATTCTGTTGTGCTTAGGGTCACTATAAGTCAGAATCAAGTCAGCGGCACCTAACAATAACATCACTACATCTTTGTGGGAGCAGAAAGCCTTATCTTTTTCCTTTGGAGCGGCTGGTGGGTTTGAACCACCGACCTTGTGGTTTGTAGGCTGGTGCTTATCACACAGCCACTGCACTCCCTTTTATATTGTCAGTAAAGCACAAGCGAACATCTTTCTGGTATTCTTTGTTTTTAGCCAATGTCCATCTGACCTCAGCAGTGATATTCCTCATTCCATGTCCTCTTCTGAATCTGCCTTAAATTTTTGGCAGCTCCCTATTGATGGATTGTTGTAACTGTTTCTTAATTCAGCAAAATTTTACTTGCATGGGATATTAATGATATTATTTGATGATTTCTGCATCCCATTAGGATGCAGAAATATGGATCTCTCCCAATAGATTGGTCAATTAGCTGTCTTCCAAATTTCTAGGCATAGATGAGTAAGTGCCTCCAGTGCTACATCAATTGAAACATTGCAATTTGTATTCTGTCGGTTCCTGAAGTCTTGGTTTTCACCAGTGTTCAGTGCAGCTTTGACTTCTTTCAATACCATCAATTCTTTCTTTCTTTTTTAATGCTTTATTGTGAATTATGTGATAGTTTACATGGGAGGACATCAGCTTCACATTGATCCCGTCGTATATCATTTCCTTGCCATGGTTACAGTCCCTTCCAT